TGGCCAAGACGAAGGAGTATGTGATGCTGAGAGCTTGCCCTGGTAACCTCGTATCTTGCTTTTTGATGGTTTTGTGATGAACACTCTGAAAACCCTTAGCTTTATCTGTTTCTGAACACTTCTTTTCCTCTTCCACTTGCTTGCTTGCTTCTGGATATGCTAGTTGAAATGTTGGTGTTGACTTCAGGCTTGAGACAGATTATAGGCTTGGCTTGTTGGTTTGAAACAGGTCTGGTTACAGGCTTGCTGTATGATCTGGTTTAGGACAGGTTAGGCTGAGTCTTGAAAGGCTTGGGGCTTGTTGTTTGGCTGGTAACTTTTGATGAACAAACTCTTTAGGCTTTACAGGGCTTGAGGGTTCTGTTTGTGAGTTTGACAGTTTGTTTGTGGTATAGGCTGTAGCAGGTTTTGTGTATTTGAAAACAGGTTAGGCTTGAAGCCTTTTGAGTTGAAACAGATTTTGGCTATGTTTGTGTTGGAGGCAGTTTTGATTTTGACAGGCTAAAGGTTTATCAGTTGGCTTGCTGTTTAGAGGCTTGTGTTTATAACTTATGCAGGTTTTGGCTTGTGTTTATTGAGTTGAAACAGGTTTGTATGGCTTGAGTACTTAACACAGTTTTGCAAGGGCTTGGCGCTTGTGGTTTGAGGCAGGTTGTTTGCTTGTTTATGTTATGTAACACAATTTTGTGGTGAGCTATATTTTTTGTGATATTCTGCCTCCCTCCTCTACTATGTTCTGATAACTTGTTTATATCTTTTTCTTCAAGCCTGCTGTGCTGTAAGCCTATACTTCTCTCTCTTCTCTCTCTCTATCAAAAAAAGAATTTGTTTATTGCTTACTGTTGTACTTTCTGAAAAAGTATTGGCTGGAAAGTGATGATTTTGAAAATGTTGCTTGCACATTAGTTTTCCTCTGCATACTTTCCAGATTTCTTGCATATCTTGTGTACTTTGTTGACAGCTTTTTGGATAGCCTTTTGATAGCTTTTGGACAGTTTGGTTTTGACATTGGACTTGGTTTAGTTTCTTCAGTTTGCAATCAGTTCAGTTTGGACTTTGTGCATTGGTTTTGAAATTTTGAACTGTGCAATTTGTTTTTTTGGCATATTCACTAGCTGTTCAGTTTGCCTCTTTGGTTGACAATTTTGGAATTATGCAGCTTGTTTGACATTTTTGAATTTGTGCAATATTGTAACTTTGTGCATTTCATATTTTTGCAAGCATATTTCTATCCCTCTTTGTGAACCAAGAATTTCTTGTGATTTGTAGAGAGGGTGAATAAACTGATTCCGGCCAGTCACTTTTAATGATGAGTCTTTAAATTAACTGTCTGCTTTTTTATTTCATCTGCATTTGACTTCTTTCCCTTCTTTTTTGTCTTTGCAGATAAAATCAATTGGGCAAAGGAGCATCAGTAGAAGACTTAGGAAATTTTAGGATGTAGCTTTATTTCATTTTAATCATTTGTAATAACATTATTTGTAAGTACTGTAAATGTATTCAAATAACATTTGTACTTAATAATTAAAAGTAAATAAAAGCTCTTTTGTCAATTAATCCTTTTTAATTCTTCTTCAATTGTTTATTTAATTATTTATAATTCTTAAATTATAATAAATGGAAATAAATCCCAACTATTCTAACTTAGAATAAATAATTAATTAATAAACATTGTAGTCTCGCCACCTAACATTAAACAATAATAAACCCGACGCTCCAATTAACCATAGCAATGCACAGTTAATCAAACAAACGTCCACATGTCTTTTCTTTTACTGATCATACCAAACACTGCAAGTTCTCAATTCAAATGCCTCAATCCAAATCTCAGAGTAAACTGAAAAGAACTGTAGAATTAATTCTTTCTGAGAATGCGCGCACAAAACCCTGATTCTTGATTTAATGTCGAAGAAGCGCCTTCCTGATCAAACCCTGAGCCAAACTCAACCAAACCCTAATAATTTGCTTGAAATGTTCCAGAGTCCATGAAAACCCTAATTTGGCTAGACTGACAAGAAAAATTCTGTTTGGGGTACAACAACTGGTATCATTTGTCAGGAGTCCCATTTGTTTGATCCCTTCCCTCAGTAAGTTCACCTTCAATTGGTGTTATCTTTGTAAGAGCTTTCTTCGGTCTGTCTCTTTCTTACGTATCCGATACCGACCACGGATATGTATTTTCGATACTTATTTCATATGTCTGCTACCAATCCCAGACATGTGTTCTTGATATCTTTGTAAGAGCTTTCTTCGGTCTGTCTCTTTCTTACGTATCCGATACCGAACACGGATATGTAATTTCGATACATGTTTCATATGTCTGCTACCAATCCCAGACATGTGTTCTTGATATCTTTGTAAGAGCTTTCTTCGGTCTGTCTCTTTCTTATGTATCCGATACCGACCACGGATATGTAATTTCGATACATGTTTCATATGTCTGCTACCAATCCCAGACAATTGTTCTTGATATCTTTGTAAGAGCTTTCTCCGGTCTGTCTCTTTCTTACGTATCCGATACCGACCACGGATATGTACCTTTGACGTCTTTTTCGTACGTATCCGATACCGACCACGAATATATATTTTTTTGATGTCTCTTTCGTACGTATCCGATACCGACCACGGATATGTATCTTTGATGTCTCTTTCGTACGTATCCGATAACAACCACGGATATGTATCTTTGACGTCTCTTTCGTACGTATCCGATACCGACCACGGATATGTATCTTTTCTATCTCTTTCTTACGTGTCCGATACCGACCACGGATATGTATTTTTTGATGTCTCTTTCGTACGTATCCGATACCGACCACGGATATGTATCTTTGATGTCTCTTTCGTACGTATCCGATACCGACCACTGATATGTACCTTTGACGTCTTTTTCGTACGTATCCGATACCGACCACGGATATGTATCTTTGATGTCTCTTTCGTACGTATCTGATACCGACCACGGATATGTATCTTTGATGTCTCTTTCATACATATCCGATACCGACCACAAATATGTACCTTTGACGTCTTTTTCGTCCGTATCCGATACCGACCACAGATATGTATCTTTTCTATCTCTTTCTTACGTGTTCGATACCGACCACAGATATGTATTTTTGATGTCTCTTTCTTGTATATCCTCTACCAACCCCGGATATGTGTCTCTGATACTTTTTTTCGTATGTCTGCTACAGACTTCAGGCATATACCTTTGTGATATCTTTCTTACAGGTATTTATTACTAAATCCCAACAGATGTTCCTTGATAACCAAGTTATTTTGCTGTGTCAAACCCTGGTTAAACATACATCTAACCCCGATAACCCCTTTAACCTAGAAAGCAAAATAATAAAATACAGAAAAACCAAAAATAATAATACCTGACTGACTCCGGAGCGCAAATTTTCTGGTTCTTTTAGTATTTAATCTTCTTCCACCCTGAAAGTTCGAAAGGCTGACGCCAATCTCACCTTCAGGTTGAAAGCGATTAAATAGGGGCAGTTGTTGTACCCCAAAATTTTCCCTCCTAATTTCTTATTCTGGCTTAGACTCTTGCATTCATCTGCATCATTCCAATAGGTCATGTGCATAACACACATTTTTCTAAAAGTAGATCGACTGAGGTTCAAAAGACCAGCAATTAGGGAGCTAGGGTTTATAGTTGATTTGAGGTGTATGTGTTGAATAAGTTTGATTATCCAGGATCTTCTCGGTGTACAAGGTCTTGGAATTAGGGTTTTGTTTCAATGTTCAGCTTGAATTTCTTCTCCATCAAGCTACAAGGCTATTATCTTCTGCTGAACAATAGGTTGCAGGGTATTCCTGTCAATAACGTAAGGTTGTGATCTCACGTACATGATTCAAAACACCTCATTCTATCATTGTGCTTATCATTTGGTCAAGGTTTTGTCAATACTAGAGGTGTATTAAGATTTCTCTAAAGGATCAAGATTTGTTATCAATCCATGATGCATATGATGCTTGCATTACAGGTTGTTGACTATGTCATTGTTGCATTAAGTTCATCTATCCTTAAGTTAATCAATTAGGATTGGGTACGTCATGATTCAAGATATTTTGTATGGTAAATTTGGTTGCTTGACGGTCAAGGCATTACAAATAATTGGTACAAGCTATTGTTTGGATATTTGTGCAAGAACTTTGGTTTCAAACATGGATTAAGGTTCAACTTGATAAAAAAGGAAATAGCGTGCCCGAAGGTTTATTTCATAAATTCTCGCAGAGGAAGATGGCACATGAATATAAGTTGAGATTAAAGTACATGGTATCAAGTAAATATCTTCATGATTCAAGTTGTTATTTTCAAGATTATCCCACATCATTGTTCATCCCAAGGTAAAAGATAAAAAGATTCATTTAAATAACATTCGGGTGTTTATCATGTTTGTCTCAAGTTCATTCAAGTATCCATTCAAGCTCAAACTGAATGAGAGAAATGTTTTGAATAATTGGAAATTTGTCATGCAAGAAGTTATAAAGTTTTGTTCATTACAAATTTAAGTCATTACACCGAAGTTACAAAAGACATCTCAGTCATCAAAGTTTCAAATCCAAGTACAAATCATCATCATTTTTTACAAATATCCGTCATCATTCAAGGTTAAAAGTCAAGGGTCTCCATTCATGCGAGTTTGAGGTGCGAGGTGTTTAGAATTGGAAGTTCAAACATCGAAATTTGAGTTTTGAGATCTAAAGCATGGTGCGCAAGTTTGTTTGAACCAAAGCTCTTATAGAAATAAGGCCCAGTAAGTTGTTTGGCGCCAAAACTAATCAAATTGTTGAATCATCTTCCTCCTCCGTAACGGTCTCAGTTAGTGGACCCCACCTCACCGGAAACTAACTCCGGCCGCTCAAACAATTCAAACCACCATTCTCACCGCCGCCACACTTAGATTTCTCCGATCTTGATTCTATTTTCTTTTTCTTTTCTTAAGACCAACGAGTATCGTTAGCGGTTTCTTCCAATTCTGGTGAAAATGATTCGCAACTTCCTTTACATCCTTCTCAATCTCGTTCTCTTTTCTTCAATTTTTATTTCTCTGAGCTTGGCGTTAACTCGTCCACCAGAAGTGTGGGTTCTACGAGATCTATACCAGGCCTTGAACTACTCGAATGCGCTTCGTGGATGGAATGGCAGTGATCCTTGTGGAGAGTCTTGGACGGGTGTTACTTGTTCTGGTTCATCAGTTATACGCCTACAGATTCAAGGGTTAAACCTTACTGGGAGTCTATGCAGGCTCTATCTTCTACGGAATTTGAAGAAGCTTGATGTCAGTTCAAATAACATAGTGGGCGAAATGCCATTTGGTTTACCCCCCAGTGTCACTCATATGAATTTAAGCCACAATTTCTTAATTGGACCTATTGGCGACGTATTTACTGGCTTAGATAATCTCAAAGAAATGGACCTTTCATATAATAATTTTTCGGAAGATCTACCAAGATCATTTGGCTCCCTGACAAACCTTGCTAGATTATTCTTGCAGAATAACAGATTCACTGGATCAGTCACCTACCTGGCGGAACTTCCACTTACAGATTTGAACATTCAAGATAATCTGTTTAATGGCCTTCTTCCACATCAATTTCAGAATATAAAAAAATTATGGATTGGTGGGAATAAATTCCATGCTACATTGCAATCCGCTTACAGATTTGAACATTCAAGATAATCTGTTTAATGGCCTTCTTCCACATCAATTTCAGAATATAAAAAAATTATGGATTGGTGGGAATAAATTCCACTCTACATTGCAATACAAGATGGCATTCAAGACATTTTCATTACAATTTTACCATCATGTTACAAAAGAAATTATAAAAATCCTACACAACACCAAAGCCTAATCTTCATATGTCTTCCACGAAATCCCACAGTTTGACCTTACCTCTTCACCATAATCTTCACACTGCTTCAACACAAATCCTACTGGCCAGTTGGAACTTGACCTGTAAAATCGCATCAAAACAATCCACAATCAGAACCAAAACTAATAAGCCAATGACATAACCTTCAGCTTGCCAACTAACTATTCTTAACAGATTTTCTAACTTCTAACTTTCTCTCTAACAATTAAACTACTAACGGCAAACAGAATTTCAATACAACTAACTTGTAACCATAACTAACTACTAACAAACTCTCTAACTGCAATAACCGGAAAAGAACAGAAAACAAACTGCATAGAAAGTTGGAAAGTAGAAAATTAATTAAACAATTCAGCTCAACAACTTAGGAACTAAACTTCTGACCAAAATTTTCCAACAGAATTCTAACATAACAGAATCTCCTAACTAACCACCTAACCGCTTTTCTAGCCCTGCAAACTGTCAACAGAGTAACAAACTCTCTAACTACCAAACAGAATAACAACCTCTAACCAACTCTTTAAACTTGAAACTAACCCAATCCTCACCCTCCATCTCATAACTAATTGTCACAAATCCAAGGGCTCTGAATTACTTACCTGTAACAAGCTTCAAATGATATAACAGAAATCTCCTTCAATTGCTTCAGGATTCAATCGTTGGAGAATCACCCAGAAATTTCTTCTCTCTTTCTCTGCAATAACCGCATCTACATCTTCTTCCATCTTCATCAACCTGCGTTCATCTTCAACAGTAACAATCATCACCACTAAATTTTCATTCTTCATCACTGTGTAATCTACATCCTCAATCTGGTACGCCATTCATCCACAATTTCAACAACTTCAACAACTTCATCATCATTTTCACATCACCATCATCATCACTACGAATCTGCAACAAGATCACAACAACATTATAGATCACTAATAGCAAAGTCGCGCTATCATCTTCAACAACACAATAATCCAACACAGTATCGACGCGACGAAGAAGCATAAATCAGAATAAGAAAAAAAAGAAGAAGAAGAAGTGGTTTTCAGAAACGGAAAAGACGAAAGCTGAAAGATACCTTTGAATTCCAAAGATGAAGTTTAGGTGTAGACACGGTCAAATCGCAGCTTCGAAATCCAAAAGTTAAGATGCATTGAAACCGAAGCTGAGAGACGCGCAATACTCTTCTGATCGGTGCAAACTTGCGCCCCCTCCGTGAAGCAAACAAAGCCACCTCTATCTCCTTCGATCTTTGCTTCAAACTCCAAAGAAAATCATCACCTTCGTTGCTTCGGTCTTCTTCAACATGTTCTCTTTCATGCAAGCGGCGGCTCATCATCTCTCTCCGCCCTTGTTTCGGCTCAACGTCACAATCTTCACCTCGACTACATCTCCGATTCAACTTCAACGATACAGCTCCTTCAGTGTGAACTCACTTCGATCTCAAATTCCAATTTCTTTTCGGCGTCGCTCTGATGATGTTTCAAACATGGTGAAGACGCAACAAAATCCACATATCTTGTTCAGATTATTGACGTAGAAGGGAGATGAATTTCAAAGAAGTTTTTCAGATAAAGATTGACGGGATGTTGCAGAATTACTTAGAGAGAGTTGAAGTTGTTGATGGAGGTTGAAGAAGGAAGAAGATGAAGTTGCCCCAGCCGTTTGAAGAAGATAGAACAAAGAAGATGATGAAGAAGTCGCGCCGCGAGAAAGGAAGGGAAGCGAGGAGGAAATATCACATTCTGTAACCTAATTCCTCTTAAAATTTTATTTATTTTATTTGTTATTTTGTTATTCTTTTTATTATTTGCTGGAAGCTTGATGATAAAAAACAAAAAAAATACTTCTAATGGGCTTCATTGGGAACGGGCCAGCGCTCAATTTACTAAGCCACACTCCCTGGACTCAAATCATCACCCCTTGAGTTTATTAGTTCTTAATTAGATTTAGGATTTCCTTTTTTTTTCTTTCTTTCTTTGTTTCGCTTTTTGTTAATTTTTGTCAATATAATATATGATAAAAAAAAACTCAAAAATATTAGAATAAAATCTTAATTTTTTTCCTAATTTGGTTTGTCGTTATCTTAGCCATGTTTTAGTATATTTTGACGTCAATTTTGTGTGAAACTTTGAAATAAAAAAAGGGACTTGGGCTTGAGAAATTTCGAAGCTAAGTAAGAACACGATCTCCATCAAGGGAAATTCGAGGAAGCACTCGATAGAGTTTTCTTATCACTTGTGCGGCTTTGAAGAGGCAACGGACCTCCTCCATTCGGTATCACTGCAATTCTATTTTATTCTTCATTTTCGCACTTTATCGCATTTCTTTATTGCTTTTCTAAAAATCATAAGAAGCAAGGCTTTACCGTAATCCATGTGCATGCTAACATTAGGTAGACGTTTCCCTTTTATTCATCCTTGACTTAGGTCTAACAACGCATGATAAAATTAGGTTTAGAAAAAGGCTAGTCTTCATGTGACTTTCTTTCCCCCTTTGCATATGCATTTAAAACAAAAATTTCTTTTCTTTACAAACTTCAAAAATACTTAAAAAATTGCTGACGAGAATCGTGCCTTTATTGAACACGGAAGACGATAAGAGGGTCTCTTCTCGATCTTATCATTTTTCCATTTTAAGCCTTGGCATGGTTCAAGTCTCAAAGAATCTTTTCATGAATAAGTAGAGACATGGTTAAAATCTCTCTCTTTAGATTAACTAGCTATTATCTACAAGCAAAAACATCAACCAACACAAAATTCCTTTTGCCTTCAGGCCCTTTCTTCAAAAACTTTTCAGAAGAGCATATTAATTCACTTCTGTGCTGACGCGTAAGTCTCCAAAAGTCGAGTTGTGGCAGAAGGCGAAATTAATATCATTCATTACAAAAATAAACAAGTTCAAACCTTTTTAGTGTGTCCAGACACATTTCTTTCCAAACTTTTCAAAAGAGCATGTTAATTCACTTCTGTGCTGACGCGTAAGTCTCCAAAGGTCGAGTTGCGGCAGAAGGCGAAATTAATATTGTTCATTAAAAAATACAAATCAACAAAAACATAAGACGAACTACGGCTGCTCTGATTCCTCAAAAAGGATACGTAGGCATTGGGGTAGGGCCCAAGCGAGCACAATTTTATTTTCCCTACATTATTTTCCCTTTTCTTTTGCATGCATTCGCCCCCTTAGCAATGATAAACAGTAAGCATAGATTAAACACACCCATAAGATAGACAACAAGAGTGGATACCGTAGAGTACTACGGGCGTGTGGGGTGCTAATACCTTCCCCTCGCGTAACAGAATCCCTTACCCTTATCTCTCAGTTGCAAGATCGTGACTTCTTCCTTCTCAGGTTTTCTCGATGTTTACCTTTCCCTTCCTGTGGGATAAAATACGTTCGATGGCGACTTCATTGTTTTGATGAATTTCAGCCGGTTGTTTCAATAGGCCTTTCATAATAAAGGGGCATAGCATGGTGTCCATCTGATCTGGGCCAGTCAAGTCAAGGTTCAAGGAATCTTTAAAAATTCCAAATAGACAGGGGCAGATCTCCATCTGGATCACTTGGGGCATTGGATATGAATTCCAACAATGAATCTTGTACGATCAAACAAACATCTTCTGGCAGTGTGGTAACACTTACTACTATGGACAATGACAATTCTCCGTACCCGTGGAACGTAGACATAGTCATAAAATTACTACGCATGAACAAAGACCCACTAGGTTGACTGGCCTAGGCAAAAATAAGGGCATCCCAGCTAACCAAAATAGTTCGGGCAAAAATTAGGGATATACATGTGGAAAAAAATCTGTACACCCGGAAAGTCGAAAACCTGAAAAGGTGAATTGGGCAAAAAAGGGTATCCCGATAGACTGAAAATCTGAAAGGAAAGTCCATGCAAAAGTTAGGGACCAAAGTGTACGACTACATCCCGTCATCTCATCACTTGTCTATCAGTAGAAGGTTTATGACCCTGATCAACATTTACCAAGGACTCCAAGAGTTGGGATAACAGTTAAACCATCTACAAAATCCCCGGTAGATATTTTCTCCAACAGGTACAGATGCAGGGGCATCCTGCTACAAGGTCACTTTCATATGCTTAGCATGCAGCCTAACGATTTTAGGTGTTCTCATACCCTCGGCAGAGCAAGAATCTCCAATTACTGCTTCAACATCTAAGAATTCCCCAGTGAAGTCGCCAAACTTCTCAATATTCCCCAACATATTTCTTCTCAAAACAACAAAATAGGAATCGCCAGCGAAAACATTCTAAATAAAGAGGACTCTCCTCTAGAAACGGTTCAGGTACGATCCAGAAATGGATGTCATCCTGGCACTTACTCCAGATTCTCATCTAGAAATGGTTCAGGTACGATGCAAATATGGATGTCATTCTGACACTTATTCCAGACTATCATCTAGAAATGGTCCAGGTATGATTCAGAGACGGATGTCATCCTGACACTTATTCCAGATTCTCATCTAGAAACGTTTCAGGTACGATCCAGAGACGAATGTCATCCTGATACTTATTCCAGACTATCTTCCAACAATAGTTTAGGTACGATCCAGAGATGGGTGTCATCCTGATACTTATTCAGATCATCTTCTAGAAACAGTTCAGGTACGATCCAGAGACGAATGTCATCCTAATACTTATTCAGATCATCTTCTAAAAACAGTTCAGGTACGATCCAGAGACGGATGCCATCCTGATACTTATTCAACACATCTCCAGATACAATAATGACATAGATTCACTTTGACAATCCTCAAATAGTTCATGGAGTTTACCTTCCCCAACAAAGTTTATTTCTCTAACAACAAAAGTTTATCTCCCAGAGTTTTAACTTCAACATATTTGAAGACCTACATTATTCACCTCTAGCAAAAATCATGGATTTATTTTCCCTAATTCAACAATACCGCAATAAAATGACTGACACGTTCATACATCATTTACAAACATCATAGCAATACGCAGTACGAATGCATATATCACAATCTCGTTTTTTTAGAACACCATTTGCACTTCATGCATCATGACATTGCATGCAGCTAAACCTTTATCTTTTCAGGTAAAATTTGTACACAGACGAATTTTCATATGACCAGACGAATTTTTGATACTCTGTTGAGGTAGAAATTGTCAAAGATTCCTTCATTATCTATTGAGGTAGCAATCGTCCAAGATTCCTTCATTATCCATTGAGGTAGAAATCGTCAAATATTCCTTCATTATCTATTGAGGTAGCAATCGTCAAATATTACTTCATTATCTATTGAGATAGAAATCGTCAAATATTCCTTCATTATCTATTGAGGTAGAAATCACAAAAGATTCCTTCATTATCTGTTGAGGTAGCAATCGTCAAAGATTCCTTTATTATCTGTTGAGGTAACAATCGTCAAAGATTCCTTCATTATCTGTTGAGGTAGCAATCGTCAAAGATTCCTTCATTATCTATTGAGGTAGAAATCATCCAATATTCCTTTAATATCTATTGAGGTAGCAATCGTCAAATATTCCTTCATTATCTTTTGAGGTAGAAATTGTTCAAGATTCCTTCATTACCTATTGAGGTAGCAATCGTTAAATATTCCTTCATTATCTGTTGAGGTAGAAATCGTCAAAGATTCTTTCATTATCTGTTGAGGTAGGAATCGTCAAAGATGCCTTCATTATCCATTGAGGTAGAAATTGTCAAAGATTCCTTCATTATCTATTGAGGTAGCAATCATCAAAGATTCCTTCGTTATCTATTGAGGTAGAAACCGTCAAAGATTCCAACACAGACTCATCCTGAAACAGCCCTACATAGTCTCTTTCTAATACATTTTCAGGTAACAGTCAATTCCCTTATCTCTAACAAGTTATTGTGAAGCCTGGATTTCGACTGGATAACAGTTTAAGTTGCTGTGAAGCATGGAATACTACCAGATAACATTTAACTTCTTTAATTACTGTAAAGCCTGGATTTCGACCGGATAACAGTTTAAGTTGTTGTGAAGCTTAGAATCCGACCAGATAGAAATCAACTTCATCCTTTCGTCTAAGTCACTGTGAAGCATGGAATACGACCAGATAACAGTCAACTTCATTATCCTCAGCAAGTCACTGTGAAGCCTGTATTTCGACCAGAAAATAGAAAACTTTCATCTCTCCAGAAATAACTCCTCAGTAGAGCCTTGGACAACTGAAGTTCCTAGACTTTATTCCCCATAGAGTTTTCCTCAAGTAGGAGAACAACAGAAACCCATATTCCCCATCAGAATCCTCCTCAGACAGCAGGAACAGGAACCCCCAAAGGGACCATGTGTGAAATCAGCATC